TAATGTCAATTTTTAAATTAAGGGTTCAAAAATCTATGCATAAAATGAGATGATTGTTTAAAGCATAAATTAAAGTATCTTGTAGTGATATTCCTTCTCTTCTCTGCACCTACCTGTGATTCTTTTTTCAGTGAGTAGAAATCCTGGAATTGGAAGACAACCACAACTTGTTATTTGAAAATGCCAACCTAAGGGACTTGGTGCAACCCCTGGAGACAGGGTCGGATGAGGACTGTAAGAAGAAGGTTGAAATCAGCCACTATTCTCCTCAGAGGAAAAACTGTGCTGGTGTGTCTTCCACTAGATGGAGGGACTGTGATGGCTTTCTGCAGACCCCTTGACAGAATCAGTCCTCTGCTCAGTGACAATTTATTGGGCACCTACTATGTGCCATGCTGGGATGAAGAGCTAAGCAGCCAAGGCTCCACCCCCAGGTGAGGATATCACCAGTGAAATGAACAGGTACTGTCCTGGCCATGACAGCATTTGCATGACAGATCTCATCTGTCCTATTGGGGCCATTACTCCCCATTTTTACAGACAGGAGCAGCCATGTCTATATGCCACTCAACCAGTAAGGAACAAGTCCAAATTTGAACCTAGGGCTACCCAACTCCAAAGCCCATCCTTCAAAGCACGTTCCTAGATATGGCATCTCACAAGTGAGGACCATTAGTGAACACCTATGGGGCAGGCATTCTTTGCACATCCTCTCTCATTTAATCACTTCCCTGCCGAAATTCTGGGTGGGGGTAACACCAGCACCATTTCAAGAGGGGAAACTGAGGTTCAGGGAGATGAAGCAGCTTGCCAGGGGCCCTGGGGGACCAGCGGGAACCTGGAGCTGGCTGGCTGGCCCCCAGTTAGCGTGTTGCTGTAGTGGATGCTGTGGTTGCCCCTTCTAATTCAGGATCAGAGCACTCACTCCCCCAGCTGCCCAGGCTGTTGGCGGCCAATGGCTCACAGCTCCCTCAATAGGAGACAACGCTTCACCCGAGGTCCTGATACTCCCGAGGGCGAACATGTCCGCTGACATGTTTGTCGGGGTATAAAGGCCTGGCCCCTTGCCTCCAAGGGGAACGGATATCCTTGAAAATCATCTCAGCTCCAGAGCTGCCACAGGATGGCTGAGGGCCAGCCATGACTGCAGCACAGCTTGACTCTTCCCTCTGCCCGGACCTGAGACAGTTGCTCTGCTCTTGAGAGCCAGGCTGGAAGGTGCAGACTTTGCTAAGGCACCCAGGGCTTCGGTAAAGCAGGCAAATGATGGGCCAGATTTGCACTGTAGAGAAACCCTGCTGGAGGATGATCCAGAGTGCAGAGACCCAGAGCCAGAAGCCAGGGAGGAGGCCAGTGAGAGAGGCAGGAAAGGAGAAGGCCAATTCCAGCAGCGGCCACTGGGTGGAATAAATGGACCATAATTTGAGACTGGCCCAGGATCCTTAGCCAAAGGTGGCTGAGATGCCAGTACCCTGGGCTGTCTTCCATCTGGAAGTCACTGTCCAGCTCTGGGCCAGCCCACTGGGTGCTGCCCTGGCTCTCCCAGTCATCAGCTGTGTGGCCTGGACAGGACACGCTGGTGCCTTGCTCTGCGCATTTGAGAAAATGGGGCTAATGCCAGTCCCTCCCTCATGGAGGGCTATGAGAAATTAAGGAGTTAATAATACAAGTCAGAAAACTTAGACAAGGGCCTGGCTGGGCCTGAAGGTCTGATCAGCAATAGCGAGCATTATTTGGACTGTCCCAGGCTCACCAGTACCTCCTGAGGGTCTGGGACGGGCATGTACCTTTGACAGGTACACCTGCAGCCCTGTGCGTCAGAGGCAGGTCCCTTTGCTGCTGAGCCCCAGATCTCATGTTGGTAGGAGGGCAGTAATCCTCCGGGCCATGACGGGTCATCACAAGGGCAAAGTCAGTAATACTTAGAATGCGCCTGGCCCAAGGTGTGAAGTCAACCAACAGCAGCTGCTGCTGTGGTGGTGACAAGGTGACAGTTCCCACATGGCTCTGCAGGCCTGGCCACCCCACAGCAGGCAGCACAGACTCAGCAAGGCCAAGCCCCACCCTTCTTTGCGCTCCCAGCCTGCTCCTCCTCCACTGTTCTCTCCATAAATGTCATCGCCAGCTGCCCCAGCCAGACACGGGAAGAACACCAACTCGCCACCCGCCCCCTCCCTCCTGCACGCCCCACACATCGGCCGCTGCCAAGTCCTGCGCTCCGAGCCCCTCCGAGTCTTCACCACTGCCGTGCCCCACACCCAGGCCCACCGTCTCCCCCAGAACCTCCTCGCTGGTCCTGCTGTCACTGCTACTCCCCTCTCACCGGAGCCAGCCCAAAGCACTCCAAGAGTATCCCATGGGCCTGCTGAGACCCAAACTCTTCAACCCGCTCAGTGAGGGCAAGGCCAGGTCTGGCTTGTTCAACGCATCACTGGGGTCAACCACAGGGCCTGGTAAACAGTAGGCGATCCATAAGTACTAGCTGGGTGGTGAACAGATAGATGAGCACATGCATGAGATGGCCATGCTGAAAGGAATGAGAACAATAACACAGCCAGGTGTGGTGGTGCACGCCTGTAATTCTAGCACTCTGGGAGGCTGAGGCAGGAGGATCACAAATTCAAACACCCTGGGCAATCAGCAACTTAGCGAGATCCTGTCTCTGTCTCAAAAAAAGACAAAATTTAAAAGGACTGAAGGTGTAGCTCCATGCAAAGGCTCTAGGTTCAATCCCTAACATTAGAAGAGGGGGAAAAAAAGGAATCATTAGATACAGGCACATAGTGCTGCCTACCCAGCAGGCCCTGTTCTGGTGTGGACTCATTCATTCCGGGCTCATACCCACGCTACGTGCCAGGAGCTCCTTCTCCAGTTTTACAGGTGAAGAAACTAAGTCACAGGCAGATTAAGTAATTTGCCCAAGGTCACCAAGCTAATACACAGAGGCAGCCAAGAGTCAAACAGGGCTCAAGACTCGGGGTCACAATCACAGCAACCACCTACAAATGCTTCCCCCAGACACCAAATCCTCCCGCTCACCCTACTGGTCGGACTCAGGGGTACAACGGTTAAGCCTGACCCAAGGTCAGGCAGCTGTAAATGAGTACTACGGCAGACAGCCTTCTTCTTTGCTGATAAATAAACTGCCATCCCATTTTTAGTGACTGAATGGGGCTACTCCCTTGGAGCCTGCTTATATATGGGAGTCCCAGGGAAAGAAAATTTCTGAGCCTGCAGGACTGAGACCCAGCTGCAGAGTCAGGCAGGGACAAGCCAGGCCATGGGGTGGGCGCAGGGCTACGGATCTGGGCCTCTTCCACTCTGTTTCATCAGGTGCCTCTTTGGGCTTCAGGCCTTAAAACACACCCTGAAGCAGAAGCTTTCAAACCAGCTGGCAGCCCACAGGGCAGTGCCTTGGGGACTGCCTGGGGGGTAGGGTGGGGAGACCAGCAGCTCAGACTCGGGGGACCCTCCCACCTCTGCCTTCATCACGGCAGCTCTGCTTTTGTCCAGGATTCTGAAGAAGCTTTCAATCGGGAGAAATTCTGCCTTTCAAAATAACTTTTGAAAATCAGTGCCCTAAGGGATAAATGTCCTTGTCGGGCAAAGTGCCCTGCTCATGTCTACCCTGGTGACATTCAGGTGCTTAGATGAAGTAAATTCTGGCAGGGGAGAGACAGCCAGGTGAGAATCGCCGATGTGCTCGGCCAAGTCCAATGTCAAGGCCACCCTGACTGTTCCTGGCGGCGGCTCCCCGCTCTCCACACAAGCTCTGGGTGTGCCCCAGCCAGGAGCCTCTGTGGCACAGCTCTGCCTCTGGGCATCTGCCCATCTGGTTTTTCTGCCTGGAATAAAAAGAAGAACTGCATACTGGCCCTCCTGCTCTCTCACAAGCAGTGCGTGAGGAACTCATCTCTGGTCCCTGAAACAGTCACCTAAACACAGTTACATCAGGTTTCACCCCCACCTTAGGGAGGGGAAAACTGAGGTTCACAGAAATCACTCACCCCAGGTTTGCCAGACTCAAAGCTCTCTTCCCATTGCACTGCTGCCTCCCCTCTCCCACGGCCCTGCCTTCATCCTTCCTTGCCTCCACCCACATCTTAGCCACATGAAGGCCCTTTTGCCTCCTCCAGGACATCCCACCTGTATGTGCTCTTTCCTCTGCTCCAGACACTGTGCCACCTCCCATACCCCTCGCCTGCTGCTCCGTGGCCTTTGTGAATCAGTCCGGGCATCACCTCTTCGGGGAGCCCGCCCTGGAGGCCAAGGCTGGTCAGAGGCCTGCAGCGGCCCTGCCTCTGAGCTTCCTCCATCCCGGCCCTCATAGTTCTGGCTTGCAGTTATTTGCTTCCTGAGTCTTAAAGGGACTCTTAAGTTCTTGGGGGCAGGATCTGGATCCTCCGTGCTCTCTACTCACTAACCCTGACCAAGAGGCAAGCCACCCACTAGGTGCGCCATGAACACCTACTGAGCGAGAGGACGTGAATCCAAAGGGTGCCAGCTCTCCCTAGCGGGTGCTGGGTGAAATGCACAGAGGATACGCTCCCTGCCCTTGGCTTCATCTCGTGCAGGAAGCCTCCCTTGACCACCTCAGAGCCTCGCCTGATTCCTACTCCATGTGACTGTCATTCACTCAGCAAATCTTCATTTGTTTTTTGAGACAAGGTCTTGTTATATAGCCCAGGCTGGCCCCCAACTTGCAAAGATCCTCTTGCCTCAGCCTCCTGAGTGCTGGGATTACAGGTGTTCCACCACACCCAGCTTTAACAAATCTGTCAGCAACAATTAATCCAATGCATTTAACAAAGTGAGACACAGGAGGTGGCACGCCATCACCCATCTTCACCCTGCTCCGTGGGGCTCTCAGGCACAGGTACCCAGCACTGGTATCATCAGCCAGGTTGGTAGAGACGCCCCCTATGCTATATGCTAGGCCGCCACCTGCCCGCCCTCCCTCTCTAGCCTGCTCCATGGCCCTTTGCCCAGCCCAGCCATACCCGGTTGATGAGCTCGCCAACCATGCCAGTCCAGGAACCATTCGGCTCGGGGGCCCCGTACAGCCCATCCTCCACCAACCGCAGGCGGTAGCGGAAGCGCAGCAGCTCGGCCAGCTCCCGAAGCATGTCCACACAGAAGCCCTCGAACCGCTCATTCCCCGACAGGGCCTGGAAATTGGGCCTGCGCATGACGTACGGGTTCTCCTGGGTGGGCAAAAGAGGAGAGGAGTTAGAGGCCGGCGTTTCAGGGCTGAGTCAGGGATTCAGGAACCCGGGTGGAACTTGGGGACCTGGAGCAGGCAGCTAGGGCAGTAATCTGCTCAGAGTGGAGATGACAGCTTCATTGCATGTGCTCTTCACTTAAAAGTGCTCAAAATGTTAATCCCAGCTACTTAGAAGGCTGAGGCAGGAGGATCATTCAGGACGAGCCTAGGCAACACAGGGAGACCTTGTCTCAAAATAAAATTTCAAAAGGGCTGGGGATATAGCTCAGTGCTAGGCCCTGGATTCAAACCCCAGGACTGGGGGTGGGAAAATTGCTCAAAGTGGGAACAGGCCTGATAGTCAGAGAAAAAAAAACACATGGACCTTGCCAGCCTCTAGCAGATTGCAGGGAGTCATTTTAATCTCCACAGTCAACATGACATTCATTGGTCTCCAGCCTAAGTGCCTATGAGACAGGAGAGAGCTTCAGAGAAAACTGGACTGGAGGGAACTTGTGTCAGGCTAGAACAGGACTTTCAAATATTTTACTTCGACGCACAGTGAGACAGTTTACCTTGCCACTCACGTCATCCCCTCACCACCACATGTACATGGGCAACCAGGCTGGATTCCACAAAACAGTCCTGGCCCTTAGTGACCGCGGGCAGCACACTCAGACGTTTTCTATTCTGCTCTACTTCACCTTCTCACAGGGCCAGCAGTGACTCACTAAACTGACTTCACGAGCTACCACCAATGGCCAAAGTGTGTCTCCTCCACCGGGATTTACCTCCAGCCGCACGCCACTACGAAGGAAGCAGGCCTGAGATGCCAGATGGTGCGACTTCCAGAGAATTTGGAAACCTAGACTGTTTTGTAAAATCTCCTGATTATAAATGTTAGCAACTAATTCAAATTCTAATACTCTTTTTAAAAAATGTTTTGAGAGCTAAAGACACACACCTGCAAGTTTGCAGTCTACGGCCTTTTGCTGTCTGGGTCCTTATTTCTGAGAGGCGCAAGCAAACCTTACTGACCCCAGTCCACCAAAAAAACATGAAAGCAGAGAGGACATCCCAAGTGCTAAGGGCCGGGGATATAGCTCAGCTTCACAAGCGCCTGCCTGGCAAGTACGAGGTCCTGAGCTCGACTGCTGGTACCAAAAAATAATAATAATATAGTGTCAACCTCAGGGGCTGGGGATTTAGCTCAGCGGCAAAGCGCCTGCCTGGCAAGCGCAAGGTCATGAGTTCGGTTCCTGGTACCAGAGAAAAACCAAAAAAAAAAAAAAAATAGTGTCAACGTCAGAGTGGAGTTACACTTAGTCTGGTGGGTTGGCTTTAGCCTGGGCACCCAAGGGTGGCAGGATTGACTATCTTTGAGGTGGTGGACTGTGGTGTCTACTGATCCGTGTTGGGAGGCCAAATGAGTTCCCAGAATCAACAGACTCGTTCTGGCTACGGCCATCCCACCCTGAACGCTCCCGATCTCGTCCAAGTGCTAGTAAGACAAGCAACAGGAAGATGATTATAACAAAAGGGAAACTTATGTTGATATAGTTATTGTCTAAATGGCTGTTAGGACAGCACCACTCTGGACCAATGAACAGAAGGCTCAGGAAGCCAGATGCTGGAGTGGATGCCTGCAATCCCAGCTACTTGGGAGGCATAGGCAGGAGGATCAGAAGTTTGACATCAGCCTGGGCAACTTAGCTGGACCCTATCGTAAAATAAAATTAAAATGAGAAAGAGCTGGGAGTGTAGCTCAGTAGCAGTGCACTTGCCTAGGATTTTCGAGGCTCTTGGTTCAATCTCCAGTATTAAAAATAAGTCTTAAAACACAGGGGAGAAAGCTTTGGCAATAACGTCCACAACAGCTACTGTGTATCAAGCACTTGCCCTGTACATGTCCTCTCCGTTACCTCACTTCAACTCCTCACAGAGACCATACACTAAAATAAGCATTATTACACTCATTTTTCTACACATGTGCCCACTGTGGCTCAGAGAGGGCAAGTGACCTCGGTCACTGTTCCTAATTACTGAGCTCTGCAGTAGATGTGAACATAATATTTTGTTTCCTCGTCCATCCATGTGTGGAGTTCACTTTCTCACTCCTTAGTCAAGCCAGCCTTGTGACTTGTTTTGGCCAAAAGAATGTGGCAGAAAGGATGTTGTGTGGATTTCAGAACTTTGGCCTTGCCGGGCGTGGTGGTACACGGCTGTAATCCCAGCACTCGGGAGGCTGAGGCAGAAGGATCGTTGCGAGTTTGAGAACCAGCCAGGGCTACAAAGTGAGCTCAAGGCCAGCCTGAACTGCATAACTCATAGGCCTTTGAGACAAGGCCACCCTGTCTCAAAAAGACCAAAAAAAAAAAAAAAAAGAAGAACAACATACAAGACTAAAAATATTTCTAGGACCACTGTATAAGGGAGCCAAGGCCAGCCTGTTGGCGGATGGGTGGAGGGGCTGTGCCAACCAACAGCAGGCTGCCAGCTACACGAGCCCCGATGAGACCGTCTGAGAACTGCCCAACTGTCCCACAGACTCATGAGAAATAATAAATCACCATTAGGTCTCTGGGTATTTAGAGTGGTTTGTTACACAATGACAGAATAACCTACCATGAGGCCAGGTCCTGTCACGGGCTCCGTACTACAGACTCCACGGAGGCCCGCATCTAAGGGATGATGGGATGGAGAGAAACCAATGCTTCTCTTTCTACCAAGATGCTTTTCCAAATCCAAAACTGTGCAACTGAGAGCAGGAATGTGAGATAGCACTAATAATAGCAGCAGCAGCTAGCGTTTCTTGTGGGCTTGCTGTGTGACAGCTCTCACAGCAGTGTAGGAGGTCGGTATTCTTACCTCTGCTTCAGAGATGAGGACACTGAGGTCCAGAGAAGTGAAGTGAGAAGTGGCTGAGAAAGACAAGCCAGTCTGACTCCAAAGTTCTGCTCTTCGACCCTGTGCTAAACTGCTCAAGTGGAGAGAATTAGAGGAGTAGACATGGGAGAAGTCAGACATGGAGGGGGCATCATATTTGGGTATTGAAGCTGGAAAATCAGAAATCAAGACTCTTTGAGCCGGGGCTGGGGATTTAGCTCAGCGGCAAAAGCGCCTGCCTGGCAAGCGCAAGGTC